ACTACATAGCAAGACCCTGTCTTACAAAACAGGAAGAACAAAACAAAAGAAAAAGAAATTTAAGTATACAAAATAATCGAAAGAGTGTTATAACCACTTTTAATCTTCAATATCTGGGTTCAAAATTTCATAAATTTTGCAACGTAACTGGTTCTGGAAATAATGGTGGGTGGGTATATATGATTTAAGAAATATTCATGATGGTCATAGAATCTTGGAGTTGATTAGAAAGATTGGGGAAAGAGGAGCCAGTGCTGTAGTGGAAGGCTGTTGCCAGTATCTTTGCTAATTATTAAAGGCAAGATAACAGGTGCAGTCATTTGGGCATTCTATGGAGTCATCATCTCATGGATTAAAGCCATGGAGCAGGATGAGAAACATTCTTCATGTATAGTTTGAGGGATTTCCAGGGGATCTTTGGATTGCCAAAATTTACAGGGGCAGCTTACTTCACTTTGGCACTTTTTATTATATTGAATGTTATAGGAAGCATTCGCAGGTGTTCTATATATGCACCAATAAGTAATCCCATCCTTAAACCAGGCATGAATCTGTGTATCCCCACTGGCTGGTGAGGGACACCAGATCTCTAATTGACTGAGGAGTTCTGAAATGAGCCATGGTTGAAGTATTTCAGAGCCATGAATGTGAGAGATGTACTTTGAATTGAGGTCCAGGTCAGGTCTGTCACTGTGATTCTGAAGAAGGGCCTGTGGGTTTGTATAGCCTTGATGCCCAGAGGAGTAGCTTCTGTCAAGGATGCAGCAGTGCCTACCGCAGCCTGCCATTTATGTGGTGATAAATTATCTCAGTCTCTGTCTCACACTGTTGGAGATTTGTGTTTGGAGACTAGCGGGAACAGTGGTAGAGTTTGAGAGCTTAGTTTGCTTTGTGTTAAGCTCCTTTGAGGCTCACATTTACTATGTGAGTCTGTTTTCCTGTAGACTTGAAACACTGACTCCGTGCTGCTTTGCTGCATTGATTTGCCATTTGTCCACAAGTTTTTATCTCTTAGAGGTTTATATGTTAATCTGATAGCCTCATAATTCTGGCATTAGTCCATTCCTCCTCTCCAAAAGTCACCACAAGTATTCCATGGACTGAGTGGAACACAGCAGTCACCATGCATACCACCAGAGGGAGCTTTTGATTGGGGTTGGTTTAAAATCGTGGGTTGGTCCTCTATGAGAAAGGAAGTGAGCTAATTACACTGTTATCTTCTTCCTTTTAGGCCTGGCAGTCATGCATTCCCAGAGTACTAATCAACTCGATGTGGGGAACAACCCCCGTGTGGGCACCAAGCGCTACATGGCCCCCGAAGTTCTAGATGAAACCATCCAAGTGGATTGTTTTGATTCTTACAAAAGGGTTGATATTTGGGCCTTTGGACTTGTTTTGTGGGAAGTAGCCAGGCGGATGGTGAGCAATGGTAGGTATCTGATGCGATATTTTCTTTGTCCGCATTCTCTTAATACTGGTCTTGTGAAAAGGGCAAAGGAGAATATAGAAGCCCGCGTTGTTTCTTGAATTATATTTGTTAAACTATAGGCGTTAATATTTGACTCATGGTGAGTAGGTGTAGTATAACAGTATTATATTTGCAATACAAGAGAGAAAATGGTGGTTAAAAACTTCTTGGGAGAGATTAATTCTTTGGTTTTAGTTTAGATTGGTCCATATTTCCTTTCTCCCTCAGTCTTCTTATTTTGCTTGCTTCTCACCTTTCTTTTCTCTTTTTTGTTCTTACAAAGTAGATTTACCTAGAGAAGAATGTTTTTTTGCCTGAGGGTGAATTCTGCTTCTTTAGATAATGTTACTTATGATTGGATTTTTGGACTGTTATCACACTTGGAAGTCATTCCTTTGTAAAAAGAAGACTGTGTTTTCTTTTTTTTTTTTTCTGTACTAGGGATTGAACTCTGGTCCTTGCACTTGTGAGGCAGGTGGCAGAACCCCTGAGCTAAATTCCCGGCAAACTGTGTCTTCTGATAAGTCAAGTTTACATTCAAGGAGCTCTGGATAGGTGGTTTATGTTGATCTGTTTATAAGTAATTTTATGAAATGGTGTTGCCTCAGCAGTTAAGGAAGCATTTCTCACTAAATTTGAGCCTCTCACACTTAAATTCATAATCTTTTCTTTTGTGTACCTATATTGACCTCAAATGCACAATTGAACTAATTTAAATACATTATATTCAGAAAGCACTGAGTATTTCTCTTTCAAATTGGGCATGCCACACCAACTCACAAGGTGGTTTTTTTGTTTTGTTTTGTTTTTAGCTTTTTTTTGGTACCGGGGATGAACTTGGGGATTGAACTTGGGTCCTTGTGCTTGCAAGGCGGGCCACTGAACCCCTGAGCTAAATCCCAAGCCCTTGTTTTGTTTTGTTTTTAATAGCAAAAAAATCCCTTGAGTCAGTGTGGTTAACTTCTTCATATCTTCAACTGGAAATCTTACTGCACAGAGCATGTATCTGAAAAGGTACTAGGAGAACAAAAGAAAATGCCATATATTTAGATTTATAATTATTTCTAAATGACATTTTACAGTTTACCCTCTGTGACCCATTAGGATCCCAGATTTAAGAAATAATGCAAGAAGTCTTTAACATCTATTCTCCATCTCACCTTTCACTGATGCTTTATTATAAGGGTTGACATTTGTGGGGAATCATAATTTTTGTGACTAACACAACTAGTAATTAGGAGAGTCAATAAGAAGTAGGATTGGGTAATTTAATAGAGTTTTGTGTACAATAATTAAAATCAGCATGTCTTCATAGTAGCTTTCTTTTGTAGTAGCAGAATGTATCTGCTTTCAACAAACCTCTGAGGATATTAAAGCAAGTTTCAGATTAAGCATACAGGGAGGGATTATAACTTGACAAAATTTTTAAGATATGTTTTTTGTTGTTAAACAAATAGTCATAACAATTTTTTTGGTAATTATTTCTCAATCCTTGGGAGCCACTGCCTTGCAGTTTGTGCCTTTGAAGTGCCTTGGGAATTGTTTGCGACAGATTGTTTTGCTGATTTATAAAGTTCTGAACTTTGCCTGAAATTGCACATGAACTTCATTTCCTCACTCAATCCCCAGTTATTTTTGAGCACCTTGAAATAGGGGGAAAAAAATCTTAACTCTGATTAGTTTACCTTAGCAGAGACTTTAGAGAAGGGTTGGTGTCAGAATAAACTGTGTGATGGGGAACTTCCCTGCATGGAGAGGAAACTGGCAGCCCACAGCCAGCACAGTAGCATTTCCAGCTGTGGGTGTGCCGGCGTGCAGCCAGGCAGGCCTCCTTGGCAGAATCTTGGGATTCGGGCTTTGTAGGAGCTCATGTTGCAAACTTGTTCTCCGTGTCACAGGCATAGACTCACATGTCTTTTAAAGATCAGCTGTGATTAACAATAGTCAGTTTGAAGTTAAGAGTCATCCATTTAAAATTTAGCTCAACACATGTTAGCTTACTTGTTAGATTCTAAATTTAACATTATTTTTAGAAAAAAGAAATCATGGGTGGCAGAGGAAGGGAGAATGTTTTGGTTGTTTTTAGATTTATTGATCTCTTCTTTGCGTCATCATTTAGATTGTGAGCTAGCTCCTAAAAATTTGTGGGTAGAGCTTCTGTTCTGTGGTATGGTTTCACTCTTAGGGAGAGCTAAGGGTGTCATATTTCTCATTTTAAATCAGTTGTTGTCCTTTGGCAATGACTAATATGATATTTTGCCTTTCTTTTTCTAACCCTTTTTTGCCTATGAACATTTATAATGATACACACACACACACACACACACACACACACACAAACACACACACACAGAGCTATAGATCATTTTCTCCAAATGCAGACTTGTAAGTGTTCCATTCACTTGAAACTACTTTATTAATATTAACATTTTAATTATTACTCCCACAAAGCAGAAAAGTGCGTAGAACAGAAAAATATAAGAAAAATTTTGCCTTCAAATTCCAGCATTCATGTTTGCTTTCTCTTCTCTGCACCCATTTTATAAACTCACTTGTAATTATGCAGATACAATTCTGTGTCATCTTTTCCACTTGAGTATGGTTTTTAATATTCTTAAGTAGTCTCTGTTCTTATTTTAAGAGGTCACATGATATTTTATTAACCATTTCCATATTGTTAAATATCCTGCCTTCCCCATTTGGGGCCTATGGTGCATTTTTGAGCATATCATTTTTCATTTGGGGAATTAATTCATACTCTGGAAAGAAGCAGACTTAATAGGTCAAAGACTACAGGTGTTTTAATGACTTGACACACACTGCCAAATTGCTTTCCGTAATAGTTGTTCTAATTTACAGAATCTTCCTCACCCCAGGGTATGATACACCGATTTCACTTTCTCCCCACCTTTAGGAACCATCATTAAAAAAGTATGTATTTTTAAAATTATTGTATAAAATGTACTTCATTTAAATACATGAATGTTTTTTATTAAGAAGGTTATTATAATTATGAGTCCTTTGAGTTTCAGAGTCCATTATAAAAAATGATGACCAGATAGTTTTCTTGGAGTAGTATCATCCTCAAGCAAACCATGAGGATAAAAATTTGTAGTATTTTAATTTTTATTGGAATTTTACATTTATTTTCTGCTAATAATAAACCTCATGCTGTTTCCACACAGGAAATGAGAGTTAAGTCCATTTGCACGTTTCAAAATTTCTCAGTAGTGTCTTTTGGAATTTACCGATGGTATTGTTTGACACTGATTCTGGAAATGTTAGGAAAGAAAATGGTTTTCTCACTTTTCCTGTTCAGATTTCTGTATGAACTTTAGGGGCCTGCTTGGATTACTATAAAAGCTAGATCCTGTAGCAGTCACCTCCAACACACCTAAGACACACAGGGCTGGGCCTCAACCCCAGAATTTCTAATGTAGTAGTTCTAGGGCTGGGAAATGTGATGCTAAGGTTCACTTCTGAACATAGAACTTTGGAGAAGGCAATATACTCAGGTCGGATAGGTGAACACCTGTAGAAGACAGGGCAGATGTGTTCCTCCACGTGTGTGTGGTGGTTGCACAGCTTCCTCTGATTGCTCTGTCTTCCACTTGTGGTCACGCTAGGTCATCATCTCAATGGGCCATGGCACCCTCCAGAACTGTGCCGTTCTTCTCTTCTGGGCCTGCTGGGGAGTGCAAGAGAGTCAGTGACATTCTAAGCCCCGAGGTCCTACTGTCTAATTTCATTATTTAGATTAGTGTCATCACAGAATAAAATATTAGTAATATCTACTTGAAGGGGTTTTGATGATTAAATGAGATCATGTGTATAAAATACCTAGTATGTGCCTGGCACATAGTGAGAGCTTGGGTATTCACTGTTCTGGTTACTTTCCATCAGAAATGGAATGTTTCTAGGAGGTAGCAGGTCTCAATTGCCCTTTCCTGTCTCTCTCAATGCTGTCATTTTGCTCCAGCACTACATTTGCTTCCCCCTTTCCCTACCCATGAGAGGGCTCTGTGGAAACCCTCTTGTTTCACTGGTTTTGATTATTTCATGATGAAATCCAGTGTTCAGACGTGTCAGAAACTATTTATCTCACAGAAAAGTCCTTCCTTGGCCAAGCTTCATCTCTTCTGGGGTGGGGACTAGGACATACTTGTTAGAATAAGCTTATGTTTGGCACATATACTATATTTTGGAAAAACCTTTTCTAATTAATCCTTGAGCTTGCCAGGAAACCACATGTGCTTCTGTTCCTAAGCACAACGAGCTTGTGTATAGAAACCATGACAACTCTTGCTTCTTCAGCAAGTTCATATCCAACATGTTTCATTACTCTGATTCACTGCTTTAGTCTACATTAAGGCTTGGACAAATGAATGAATTGTAGGGAAATTTTTTCAGATTCATGAAATAATTTCAAGGTTTTTGTTCATTTGTCTGTTTTTATCTTTAGATAGGTACCTGGAGGAGCAGTATGGAGGTTAGGTGGGAAGAAGGACCCCCCGCATAATGTCCTGTAATTTCAAACCCCTGATTAGAAATCTAGAACAAAGGAGGGCATTCAGCTGACCTCATGCCAACATAATCTTATGTTCTTTACTGCAAAGTAGTGTCTTTTCCTACTTCACTTCTAAGAACGCTCCTCCAGTGTAAGTGGTGGTATCTTCAACCATGTAACAGCTCTAGCAGTCAATGAATGAAAATCTTCTTTGTCTCAGGAGGTGTTCATAGCTACCAAGTATTTGGAACCCTTGTGCTTCTGTCGCTCTAGGTTTTGGGAATATGCAAGGTTTAACTTGTGGAACATCCATGTAGCTCTTGTGGGCTCTTTGCCTTCCCTTCTGACAATTTAGGGTAATATTGGTAAATATTTCTAGTAGGGCTTTATTACACAGTAATCTGTAAGGCATTGAGTTTTTGCTGTGTTATATCAATGACAATTTCAGTCATAGAAATTAACTTTATAATGTTAATGTGGATTCCTCTGAAGGCAGTTGGTTCTGACTTTGAGTGGTATATTTGGTTCCATATGCCCATGAATTGCCAGGGGATGAGGAGGGAGGATACACTGTCATAGCCTTCTTAGACGTAGCCAGAGCTGCCTTTCCAATTCCACTGCTGCTTCCAGAAAGCACTGCTTGCCTTGGGCTTTTAGGGTACCTGGGTTCTGATTCTTTGACCACTCCCTGCCTCCATCAGTGAGACAGAACCACCGGGCCGGGACTCTCAGACTCATCTGTTCCACTGACACCACCCTCAGTCATTTATCTGTGCATCATTTTTTATGTGTATCATGGTGTGAAAAATATCTTGACATGCTCCAGTGTGGTATGATAGGGAAGTAACATAAATATTGGACCAAGCTCTTTGAACCCCATCTCACCAGGAAGAAGGCTGTTTTGTAAATTTAATGTTACTCAAGAATCGAACATATGCATATTACCCTCATGTTTTTTTTCTCATATTCAAATGCCACACGTACCAGTATTTATGTAATCTTTTTCTTTACATTGGCTCTTTTCAAACATACTGAGAAGAAATTAATACCACTGCTGGAATTGGAAAACCAGTACCATGTAGTGCAGAATGGAAGGCAGTGATACAAATAAATATGCAGTTAGTAAGAGGAAAAAGTTTTGTCCATGGAACATGTTAAACTGTCTCACTTGCTTCCCCTGAAGGAAACACTGTATTAACTTACGGTTTTCTCAGGAGTCAAATATGAACCATTCTCTTATTTTTAAAAATGGTTTTAGTTCTGATGTGTTCTAAGTTCTGAAGGATTTCAGTAGTATTTCAGTAGAAACTGTTGACATCAGCTCTCTCTGTGGATGGAAAGGCCAGGACTCCATTCTCCTCGCCTTTTCCCTGGATGTAGGATGTATTGCCTCCAGTTGGAGGATAGTGAAGAAAGATTGTGCTGTGAATGGACCACAATGCAGCAGCACAAGATCCATGGAAGGAGGCGCATTCCATTATGTAATTGTTGGCTTGGGGAGAATTCTAGAATCTAAACAGGAAACTGGATTCTAGTTCAGCTTTGCTCATTAGCTATGAACTGGGACAAGAGCATTTTCCTCTGTGTTCCCCAGATTTTTTCTTTTGGAGATAGGGTCAAATGATGTCTATGTGGCACTCATGTCTTGTTGATGGATCTTCACCTCATTTTTGGACTGTTTGGAGAATTGCCTGATCCACAGATCCTTAAACTGCAACCAGATTTGTAACTGTAAAGTTTTCATAATGTATTTGGCAGGACCCCTGACCTGAACTAATTTTTTTCCCCCCTGTACCGGGGATTGAACTCAGGTCCTTGTGCTTGTGATGCAGGTGACAGAACCATTAAGCTAAATCCCCGGCTGACCAGAACTCATTTGATAGTCAACCCTGACCTTAAGGGACCTGAGCCCATATGCCATATGTAATCTTTATCTCTTCCATTTAGTATGTGTTTTCATATATTTTATTGCAGAAATTCATTTGGTTGTGGGGTGTTCCTCAGACTTTTCTGGTGGTGTCAAAATATAGTACATGCCTCCTTTTTATAAAAATGTATATAGTCTTCTTTTTTTTTTCAAGACAGGGTCTCACTTTGTAGTGCAGCCTGGTCTCAAACTCATTGCGGTCCTCCTGCCTGAGCCTCATGAGTACTAAAATTTGAAAAAATCCTAAATTCTGCAAGAACATCTAACATCAGTGGTTTTGTTTATTGATTGATGATTAGTTGATTCATTGAGTTAGGGTGTCAGAGGTTTTATTTGATGATTGCTTGAGTTTAGGTCTTGCTGTGTAACTTCAGTTGGCCTTGAACTCACTATGTAGCCCAGATGGCCTTGAATTTGCAATGATCCATCACATCTGGCCATCAGAAGTTTTAGATAAAGGATCAGGGATATACAATTAACATTTCACTTGTATTAGTGTCTGCAATATAGGAGGTACTATATTGTGTTAGGCTCTGGGGAAGCTGCTGAACAAAAAACAAAAATTGAACTTAAAGGTGCTCACATTTTTGTGAAAAGATAAATTGTTGGGAAGGAATAGGTTGAGGTCTACAGAGATGAGTGAGTCCAGTGTGAATGGTGACTTTCAGGGCTCTGGACTTTTGGGAGCAGGAGACCTTCTCAGAAGAATGAAGGCTTCAACCAAGGCGCGAGTGGGTCAAGTAGGAGCTCAGTTTGGCAGGCTTGAGGATGGGAGGTGCAGGTTGGAATGAAAACTACACCCACACACGGATGACAACGAGTGTCAAAAGGAAGAGCCGAGAGATGTCCTCCGAAAACCCTGTGGATAGAAGTGCAAGTCATTCTGGTGTGGCTGATGCCCAGGTACATGAAGGACAGTGGTGGAATGGGCCAGAGGAGGAATAAACCTGTCTTCTGGGCCGTACTGGTACAGAGGAAGGCTGCAGGCCAGTCTTCAGTTCTCCTGAGGTCTTGAAGGAGGCCATGGGGCACAGTGGCGAGTGACTGAGGAGGACGTGAAACAGACACAAATAATGTACCTGTCAAGGTGGGGGCAGATGAATGTTTGCTCTGGGTCCCTGGTGCCCCAGGAACTGAAGGGGAGGTCTTGTTTTTGGACACAGTGGCATTTCATGCCCCTCAGCTCATGTGGAAGGTGTTCTTGTTGTTTCCTGTTGATTTGCACATGAACTCTGTAATGTGTATTTTAAAGATGTTGGAAAACCACAGCTGTGAATTGAGGGGTTTTGCTCAGGGCCATGCAGCATGTACTAGCGGTAAAGATACTGGGTCAATTAAAGATAGGCTAGCCCCAAAGAAAAGAAAACTTTCACTTAAGACATATGTCCAAAGAAAAAACTATTGTGCCAATCATTTACAAAAGTTGCGGGGGAGTAGGTAATGAATAATTTCTCTGGTTTCTTTCCCGTGACTCCTTGAGTCAGCAGCCGCCTTAATGGGAAGGCGAAGCCTTGGCTGGCTGTTCCTTCCTTGACCACACACGCGGGCCTCTTCCCCTGCACGTCTGCATCATTTGTGGTTTGTACCACTCATTGGCACTGGAAGTGCTTTGTATTTTTAGTTGCTTTCCTGAATCCGTGCCGTCCTCTCTGCTGTCTCATGACTTGGCAGTAGCTCACTGGGGGCTGCATTCATAGCCCTCACAGTTCTCTTTTTTTGCCTGGCTCTGGAGGTTGTCACTTTCAGTCAGAAATGAAGAACAGTTGTCAGCCAGTCACTCTCCACCTTAACGGGAGTCACGTCTCTGCTGGCCTCTTCTCCTACTCTGCCCAGCCTTTCCACCCACTCTCCTCATCAGCCACAGGGGACGCCCCTTGGCCCTCCAACATGAGAGGCCCCTGTAATCCTTTGCTTTCCCTCACACCTTCCTCCTGCTTGAAATGCATTCTTCCTTGTCGCCTCCCCCACCCCAGACCTCCATGCTGCCTCACAGTTGCTCAGCTCTGCCTACCCAACCCTGGGTTCTGGAAAATTTCTTAAGCTTCCATGGCGCCTAGTTAACAGATGGTACTTAGTACCCCAGTACTTCCTGCCCAAACACAAAAAGAGGTGGTGCTTAGTAAACCACACAGGTGTTTTCTTCTCTAAGCCCTGCTTAAATAAGTACCTCTCCTGCCACCCCATCTCATTGCCTCTATCTCAACTGCTACTTTATGATTTTCTCATCTGCCTTGCCACTAGCCTGCTCCTAGTTACCGAATGCTACATCTTTTGCATTTTTGTATACCTGTGGCCAAGCACAACTTCTTTTTTTTTCCCTCATTAAGTTTATTGGTACATTTTAGGTATACAGAACAGTTACAGTTGTTATCGAGATTTTGCACCTTTACATGACAGGCCTTGGTTCTCATTTTTTCCCCTTGTCCCTGCCTTCCCTTCACCCCCTCCTCCCCTCCCCATTCACAAACACTTTATTTCCATTTTTTCATTTTCTCCTATTTTTTCCCCCTTATTACCTTTCTCCTACCCTTCCCACTTTCCCTACACCTTTAGCCCTTTTCTTCCTATTTCACAGTCAATTATCTCATTAGGATCTTATGTACTATTATTGTTTGTTCACACCAGCACAACTTCTGACACACAGAATATAAGGGATCAAATAGTCATTGAGTCATTGTAAGGACCAAGAAGCAACATAAGTGAAAATTTCTATTATTTTTGGTACCGGGGAGTGAACTCGGGCCCTTGTGCTTGTGAGGCAGGCAGTGGAACCACTGAGCCAAAACCCCGGCCCTAAAATTTTTACTTTCGCATCTGAAGATAAAAATAATGGGATGAAAAAAAGTTTTCAGGTTCTTTTTTGACAAGATTTCCATTATCAAAGGAAAAAAGAAACGGACTTATGTTGATCTTCTACTAAATTTTGATTTCCTTGAAAAACAATAGCACGTCTTATACTGTTATCACACTGAACATTTCCTATGGTGTTCCACACGTAGTAGGTACTATGTACATGTCACTGATGGAAATGACTGCTTTTCTTGATCAGAAGGAGTTTCATATGGTTGCTGTAGTTTAGTCTCAGTTTTATTTTAGTCTGGAGAAGTACAACCAGAGTCAGATGGAAGCAGTCAACCGTTGGCCAGTGGTTGAAGAAAGACAAGTGTAACTGAGTCCCAGGAAAAGTCAGTTAAATAGTCTTTCTTTCTTAAACTTGACCCCTTTTAAAAATATGGTGACATTTAATAAGATTAAAACATGGAAAATAGAAACACAAGAGAAAACTTCATATTTATATAGTGAAATTTATTATTGAGAGTCATCAGATCTTCTGTTTTAAACCGCCAACCCTGCTTTACATTCTTTTGCATTTATAGAAAAATCTGTTTTTGTTGCTGTTCACATTCACATAACCCTTCCCTTAATTACCAGGCAAATTACCCCAAATAGACAGCTCTTATCCTGGATTTTAAAAGAATTAAGCCAGCCTATAAAATGTAAACTCAGAAAAATTCAGAAATGATAAAAGGCACCTATTTTACCATTTCCTCTCAATTCATGTGGCCCTGAGAAAAGGTGGAAGTTATCTTTTCAGGTTCATTTCCAGATGTAGTTGAGTTGATATTTCTTAGTATTAAAAACAAAATGTTTTTATTTGAATGCTTTCAGGGACCCTTACAAGAGAAGTAGGTAAGGCTTCTGAAGTGAGATGTTCCTAATTTTTCTCTGTAAGTAGTGGTTTATGCCCAGTATGAGCTGTTTGATTTTTCCACAAAAGGCTTTAATCCATTGACAGATACACATTGCATACACACTGTTATGCAATGTAGATGTTAGTCATAATTAAGAAAGTATCAACTGGGATTTAAAAAATACAGTTTAGATAGCTTTCCATTTTTAAAATAACTCTTTAGTTAAATTTGTGAAGTTTAAAAAAATCTATAGTATTTCTTGAACAGATGCTGCTTATCATATTTAATCTTCTGCATAAGTGGTTTGTATTCATGAGAATAGATTCTTACCGTTAAGAAATTTCTATGATAAATTAAAAGGAGATTGAAGCTTTCAGGTGGCTTGTAAGAACTAGAAAACCTTAATTATAACTTCTCACATGCTCTCCTTCTGTCCTCAGTAACAGCTTCTTATGTACTCAGAAACAGATGTAAGTTACATGGAGGAAGGAAAAAGCTGTAAACCAGTGTGTCCATTGGTGGCATTGCAGAGGCTTTGATGAGGGAAAGGAAATAATACATCATCTTTTGTTGTTTCCTCTCTATAAGGGGAAGAATAATTTTTCTAATTCCAAATGATGAAGTTATAAATTTGTTTATTTGTGAATTACTTTCTCTATTTGTGGAATTTTGCTGGAAATGTCTCCAAGCCATTGGAAATCATGCTGGGACAGCAGCTGAAAGTAGCCACTTTTATATTTGCCTTGGGAAAGGGAGGTTTATGCCCAGTTCATCTTCTTTTTACTATCCCTTTACCTTCCCAATGGCTATCCTTCTTACATTTTATTTTGTGCCTTTAATCA